TTGCTAAATGTGAACATTTAAATGAATTAATCAACATTCAAGAAAATCTACAATTTAAACTAACACCTAAGATCGCAAAAAAAGACATTACCTGCAGTACATTTAATAGAATGAAAGTTAATAAAGTGTTACGTCCTAACCTGGAGAAAAAGGGGCGGAGTCAGGTATACGGACAGACGCAACAATAAAAGTATGAATTTGTGGTGTTTGCTCGCTGGTCGGTATGAGAGGAGGCGACCGCGCGAACCAAACGATTTCCCTTGGTTGAGAACAGGTCAACGATCGTAAGGATCGATATTACGCTGTTAGAGGCCTCAACCAATCGTTCGTGGTTCCCTTTTCTGGTCAAGAGACTTAACTCCTTTTATCAAGGGCGGAACCTCGTGCAATTTTCAAAAAGAGAGGAGAGAGAGATTATGAAATTTAGACTTACTACTTGGATGTCTTCGAAATGTATTTAGACCTCCAATTCTAAAGTCCAGGTGTAGTCAGCCTTGAGGTGTACTTGATCCTCCTGAGATCAGTTAGTGGTATCCGCACTGGGTCGATCGGGGACTGATTGCAGCTGAGGGGGATGAGTGTGAAAGGCCACGGCCGATGAGGGTTACATCCTTCGCGCCGGGAAAACTGGTCAGAGGCGTTGCACAGATCCTCGTATTCGTAGTCAAAATAGTTTCTTTGAACACCGATGTATTCTGAGTTATCTTCCGTAACCGATCTCGTGTACTGGAGAAGTAATTGGCGCGCACGGTATTTTACTCCCCCACGTCGCGTCTTAGATTTGGGCATGAAGGATGTAACGGTTTGCCTTTCTCGACGCCGCGGATCTGCTCGCCGGAGTCAGGATTCGAGAGAAGGAGGGAAGCTTGATTGATCACTCCATGAGATATATTAAAGCTTTGTTTATTCAACCAATTGTCTGAGGAATACAAAGCGCGCTTCTGCGCGGACGTTCTCACTTAAGGTCTATGGCGTTCACTTAAACTAACGTTAACTACACTCTATATAATACAACCGCGTACCGGGAGAACCCTGGTTTTAGGAGAGGGAGCACCCGTCTCCTTTAGGACGGCCTAGCGCGCCGCGAGCCGGGAGAACCCTGGCTTCAGGGCGGGAGCACCCGGCCCTGTCGGTGGGAAAATCGGAGAGACCGAACACCGGGAGAAACCCAGGCAGCAGAGCGGGAGAACCCGGCCCTGTCGGCGGAAAATTGGAGAGACCGAACGCCGG